TGCGGTGCTGCAGCTCCCACCTGACCCTGTATCTTCTCCCTGAATGAGGAGATCTTGCCCTCGAAGGAGCAAGCTGAGCCAAGCCGACTCCTGTGATGTTTTACAACAGGGTGAAGTGGTAGAGTGCCCTTTATGGTGTTTTGAAAGGAAATTGTACAGGAACAATGTCCCGAGCAGCGTGGCTATTGAAAACCCTTCACAAAAGGACTTTGCCACAAGAGGAAAAGCAGCTTAATCAGTCGAACTAATCACTGTAGGTGGTTGAGTGTCCCTGAGGGTCTGTAGAATTAAATATAATGGGAAAAGAAATATATCACAGCTTGCCTACGCTCCTCAGTGGAGCCGCCAACGGATATGGGACGTTCCCTGCCTGGCCCCGAGCCCGCCATGACCGTCCTTTGGGCTGTCTCTGTGCAGAACCACGCTCACCTCTGTGCAAGACCCAGGCCAGGGCCACATGGCTCGGCTGGGATGAGCCCCAGGAGGTTTCTCAGCAGCTCAGACTCTGGCTGGGCAGCCAGGGCAGGGATGCCCACCCCATGTGCTCACCCCAGATAACCCAGTTTTTGGCGTGGGCGTGAGCAGGAGGGTCAGCGGTGCTTACACAACCCTCCCGCTCCAGGAAGAGGAAACCGTCCCCGACTGCCACCCGGGGCTCTCCAGGGAAGGAGGATATTTCTGCCTCCCCTCAGCTCTGAATCTAATTAAGTCCAGAAAGCAACACACACAAAAAAAATAGTAATGCAGACTGTTTTTTCCTGATCGTTTAAGTGTAAGGCCAAGTTGACAGTAGGAAGTAAATAAATTCAGTCAATGCAAGAGGAAATTGGGGGACATTTCTGTAATCCTGTTGTTGAAGGCTGTAAGTATCTGGCACACACTGAAGGGAGATGGGATGAGCCTCTTCGCTCCCAACCTTTCTCCCCACGCATGAGCCAGGAGGACCTACGCAGACTTCAGATCCCCATGCAAGGGCTTTACGAAGGATGGATTTCCCAGGTGAAGAAACACCCCTCTAAAAATCCCATCCAACAGGAGAAGGAGGAGATGACATGAAACTCAGTCACAGTTAAGGGTGACTTCAAGTCACAGCCCTTTACCTGAGGTGGTCATGGTCCCCAAAATGACCTGCCTGGCTGGGACAGGCAGAGCAGCCCCTCATTGGCTCTGATCACCCCAAAGCCTGCAGACATACCAGCTGCACAGCAGAAGCACAAAGGATTCCCACTTTTTCTACTGAAAAGAGGAACTCAGATACCCCTTGCAGAGAGGGGATTGATTAACTCTTAGGTTTTTACTCCATCGTCTCCAAGGCATGGGTCTGTGCTTCCCTCTGCCATCCTCTCCTATCCTTGTCCATAGACAAGAACCACCAAGAGCCCTGTGAGGTAGCAGAGAGTATGCATGCACTGCTGAGGAACTTCTTTTCACAAGGTATTCAGTCTGATTTGACTTTTGGGTCCCACAAGATTGATTATGATGGCACAAACTTTTTAGGACTTCCCTAGCAACCTTTTCCTGGTCCTCAGGAAAACTGTCCCCCTTTCTCAGGACCATTTCACTACCTTTAATTAGAAGACCAGGACGTGGGTACAAACTCCCATCTTAACCTGTTGCAACTCCATGTATTCCATGTAAATCCTACATAAATTGGGCAATGTTTTTTATCTGTTTGTTCATTTCCAGGACAAAGGACACACCCAACTGGACCCTCCATTCCAAAACACATCATACCGGGATGTCACAGGAACTGGAGGAACCCTGTGCAACACAAAGTTGTCTTGCAATGCTTCAACAGATAATTAAGAAATAGTGGTTTTGGGAACTTTTTGAGAAAAGAGGAGCCAAGCTAAGCCCTAAGTGGCCCAAGGAGACCACATCCCAGCACAGCTTGTGCTCTGCTAACAGGGGAGGCGTTGGGCTGGGAAAGGTCAGAGGAGAGGACCTGAGAAATGGGTCTATTGTGCCCCATATCCCAGATTACTTTTTTTTTCTTGCAGGAGAGGTCCTACCACCATCCAGGAAAACTCTCACCTTCCCTAGAGGTGGTTGCCTAGGGGAGGTCAAACCAAGTGGCCTTGGGACATGTATGCCCCTGCTGCTCTCCTTCCATGATCCCAGCAAGTGGTGATGCCCTCCATCACCCTTATCAGGAGATGGCAGTCACACCTTATGACTCTAAGCCAACAGAGAACGCACCAGGTGTGGGATTTCTGCCAGGAGAGGTGGGGAGGGCAGCACCTCTCCCTGATCTCCTGCCCTGACTATAAGCTCTTTGCAGTAAGGACCTCACCACCTCCTGTAAGCTTTTACAAAACCCTGTGCAACCAAACCCTCCATCAGATGGTGCTCTGATGCTGATTGCTCTCATGGAAAATGCATCCAGGTTTTTTAAATAACACCTAATTCCCTCTTCATCCCACTCTTACGCAACAACTGAGGCAGGCATCCATGGAAAAATTGAATCCCAGTTTGGTTTGGGCTGGAAGGGACCTTTTAAAACCATCCAGTTCCACTCCCTGCCATAAGCAGGGACACCTTCCACCAGACCAGGTTGCTCAGGGGGCTCCATCCAACCTGACCTGGAACCCTTCCAGGGATGCGGCATCCACAGCTTCTCCGGGAAAAAAAAAAGACTTGTGGAAGGTAAAAGCCTCACACACGCAAGGAGTGAGCTATGGCTGCGTGCCCACGGGGTTGCTTCCCCGCAGGGGAGGGAAAGGTGCACGACAGAGACCTCAGGGTAGGTGAGCTGTGCTCCTCCACAGCGCAGTGACAGCATTTCCCGAGGAAAGGTGACGCGAGGGAAGCAGGGACAGGGGCTATTTATAGCAGGGCCGGACATCAGCACGAGGAACAAAAGGTGCTTCACTGGTCCAAGATGTGTCCCCTTCTGAATGTCACTGTCAGAGAGGAGAGGGAAGGCCTCACACGCTCTGGGAGGGAATTGGTATAATTTGTAAGACCTGCTGGAAAAAAACAGGCAGATTTCTGGGTACTAATGTGCTTTATCAGCTTTTTTACAATAGCTGTCCCGTATGAAGATCCAGCCAACTTGAAGGCCATCTACAGCCAGGTGAGGCCAGCTGGACCTGTGCACTGAGCAGGGGTCAAACTGGGGGCTGACACCTCGACTGTGCCTTATTTAAAAGACTGCTTTTTCACTCCAGTTTCCTCTTCACAGGCTTCTCACTTTTTGGAATTAAAATAAATACGTTTTTCTGTCTAAGCATTGATTACTGCATGTTCTTTCCATTTTGTTTCATTTTTGGCTGCTGAGGGCTGAAATGACCCCGTGTCTCCTCCAGAATGATGCTGGATTAGTTGGGTTTTAAGACCTTTTTCCTCCCATCCCGGGATATCATCCCAGCGCTACCTGATCTGGGCTGTATCTCACCCCGTCATCTTCCAACCCCAGCCCAAGGCAGTTTCTTTTGCTATCCCTCATTGCCATCTGTGCAAGAGGCAGGGGCGCCCCGGGGGGGCTGAATGCTTTTGTCTGCTGATGGTTTTTACCTGAAGGGACCAGAAAGAAAGAGGAACAGAAGTGCACACCTGGAGTCACCCCTACAAGCGGCTGGTTTTTCGGACGGGAGGGAAGAACCAACACGCAGTTCTGTGGTTCGCTGCAGCTTTGGCCGTGGGACTTCAGGCAGGAGACCACGTGGCTCTGAAGGTCTCCTCTCCCAAAGCATCATGCACTCTTTGGATGGCAGGATGCTCCAGCCTCCACTGGGATTTTCAGGGAACCCAGCCCAGTGCTTCAAGTAAACCCACTCTTGGCAAGCAAACCCACTCTCGTAACACAGCAGACCTCAGCTTGATTTTAACCATGTTTTGGTGGTCACAGGGCTGCAACCCAGACGAAATGAGGCCTTCCCTCCACCTCCCCCAAATCACAAAATGGAATTGTCTTTTAAATTGTGTACAAGAGAAAAGGAGGGAGCCCCAAGGAGAAGAGGACACACAGTTTCCTGCCCGTGAACCGCCCTGCCCCACAGAAGAATGTTTCTAGTATGCCTAAGAAAACTCTATTCAGCTGGGTTTTTTTTGGTCACTTGGTAAAATTTTGGAAAACCAAACCATGCATAGAGTTAACTGCACCGTGGCTGCTCTGAGATGCAATAGGGCAACCTGAGGACACACTCCAACTGCTATTAGGTATCTTCAGGACTTCACTGAAAATCCCTCCCTGTGACACCTCAGGCACGGATTGAAGCTCATTCTCGGAGGAAACATTGGCCACTTCTCCTCCTGTTGAATCGCCTTGCAAACTCACGGTTTTAGCAATGCTTTATTACCCTGGACGTGTTGTCTCAGCCACAGCAGAAAAAGTCAGCAGAAATTAAGTTGCAGGTAGTAACCACCTCCCTTGTTCCTTGATTATTATTTTCACATTTAACCATAGTCACGATTCCTATCAAGGACTCTAGATGCCCTTAAATAATTAAATATGCATTTTACATAATTAAATATCTAATTAAATTAACTCCATGGATTGAAATTACCAGTGCCACAGGAATTCAGCTGCCTGTTTAGAACATCCCCTCCTTCCCACAGACAGACAACTGAGGTTCACCGCAACCCCCTCTTAAAACCATACCCACTTTTCAGGCAACCCTGAAACTCAGCAAATTTTGCTTTTCAATAGAAAAAAGAGGAAGCAAAGCCCAAGGACTCAAGCTTTGCCAGATAATAGCTTGCCAGATGCCTATTGCAAGTGGGGAGATCTGGCTGTGTTGGAATAACTACAAGGGGGAAGAGAAGGTCCTTAAGATACTCCTGGAGCAACACAGGACATATTCCAGATTTAAAAGACAAATCAGAAGGATGGACAGACTGTGTCTTCAGGATGCCAGTGCTCAAATAAGGGTTTATATATTAATCCAGTGCTGACAGCTGCTCAACAGCAACCCAGTCCCAAGACAGTCCACGAGACAGTGCAGGAAGGCGCATGAAGAAGAAAAGACTTAAAAAAACATTAAAGAGGTTTCACCTACCTCCGGTCGTTTCTCCTCCTTCTGAACAGCTTTTTGGTGTGTGCGATTTCAGCTTCATGAGGCAATGGATGGTATCCCTGTAAAACAGAAGGGAAAGCAGCAATCAGCTCCAAGACACAGGAGGCACTGACATGGAAGTGGTCAGAGCTGGACAGAGCTGTGCACCCAGCTGTGAGCATGGTAAAAGGAACGGTTCCCATCCAAACATCCTTGCAACATCCCAGGCCATACAAAAGCAAGGTCTGGAAAACCCAGACTTGTTGCACCCTCTCAGGGCCCTCAAGGAGCAGTGAACGAAGTCATCTGCAGTTTCTGTATGGGAGAAACCACATGGGGCAAATAACTGGATCATGTACGTACAAATCCAAGTAGACACCACTGACAGGGAATTCACCTACTTCACACACAACTCTGGTCCACCCAAGCCACCCACTTTTCCTGGGATGTTTCCTTTGCATATTTATCCAAAACCCAGCTGTAAAAACGTGTGTCTCAGTATCCTTTTGGGTTTGAAGCCCAGAGGAGCCACAGCTGGCAGGTCTGTGCTCTTGTGCCATTAGGAAGGGAACAACCATGACACGAGCACCCTCCCGAGCCTGCCCACCATGAACGAGTCAACCCTGTGGGAAAGGACAGGAGGCATCCACCTTACTGGAAAAAACTGAGATGACAAGGATGTTAAGCGATGTGCCCAAGCCCAGGCTGAAGGAAGACAGATTTGGATTAGCTAATAGGAAGAAATTCTTTACCAGGAATTAGGAAGATATTCTTTACTATAAGGGTGGTGAGGCCCTGGCACAGGTTGCCCAGAGTGGCTGTGGACTCCCTATCCCTGGAAGTGTTCAAGGCAATGCTAGAGGGGGCTCTGAATAACCTGGTCTAGTGGAAGGTGTCCCTGCCCATGGCAGAGGGGTTGGAATGAGATGGTCTTTAAGGACCCGTCCAATACAGATCATTCTAGGATTCTGATTCTAAGCCAAGGCAGTGGAAGAGCTGTGTGTAACTCCAGCTGCTGTCTTTCCAGTGTCCTCTTTCCACTGAAGGTACCGACTCTGACGTGCTACGTTCATCTGATAAGGGGGATGCTGTGTTTGCCATCCAACTATGGGCATGATGAGGCTTTGTTAATGCTCGCAAAGAGCTCTGAGGTTCCTGGATGAAAGGCCCTGCATAAGTGCAAAGTATTATTTATCTTCCAGGGACCACAGAGCTGTCATAACCACAATGAATTTTATTTATGCAGTATTGTACTTCCCCAGCTGGCAGTAAAACCCCGTAAAAGTCGCTCCTTTTATTTCCATCGCAATCTATCTCAGCCTGGAGCTCCAGCCGCTGCTGGTGAATCACCACACATGAGGGGCCTTGAGGGAGCAGCCTGGGCAAAGGCAAGGGCTGGGTGGGGATGCATCTCATTGAGCAGCAGGTTTGTGACACTGGCATGACAACACAACACGTCGAGTTCAAAAAAAAGTCCCTTTCTCTTTCGCATGAAGAGCCTTTAAAAATTACAGTTCATTTTTGTAGTGGTTACTGAGATAATAATATTTTGAGTTTCTCTGGTGGAAGATGTAATTTAAGGAGAAAGGTTGCTGGGGGTGATAATGAGCTTAGGCATGCAGGTCTGAGAGGCACCACTGAGTCAGAAGACCATCAGGGTTTATTGTGACCATCCGTCCTGACCATCTGCAAAAAGCCTGGAGAAACTGCCACTGCAGCAACCCTACAGCTCCCATGGCAGCTGGAGCCTTCCCCTTTGGAGTGCCTTTGCTCCTCAAGACTTCAGGCAATACAGAACCCACCAAGCCAAAATACAAAGCTATGAGAAAATGTCTGAAGCAGGGCTGTGACAATGGTGAAGGGTCTAGTGGTGAAGCACATGGTGGGACTGTTGGGGCTGCCCTGCGCAGGGCCAGGAGTTGGACTTGATGATCCTTGTGGGTCCCTTCCAACTCAGCATATTCTAGGATTCTATAATAGCTTAGAATCCTAGAATGGTTTGGGTTGGAAGGAACATCAGAGATCATGCAGTCCCAAACTCCCCCACCATAGGGGGGGAGAACTTCCACCAGACCAGGTTGCTCACATTTATAATTGAGGGCTGTGGTTTGAGTCTTCCTTCCTCATCACCTATTTTCCCAATCATTCAACTTCACTAAATGTACAGGAGGGGCTTAATATCACCGAGACCTCTGTTCCCGTGAAAAATTACTTGGAGTTGGCCAATGGATACCAAAGTCAAGGAGAAAAGGAAGGGGAGGAGTAGGCACACACAGCCCAATCACATCAGCCACATAGTTTAGGAAATGAGGCTAAAAATAGTACAATAATCAGCGAGGCTGTTTCTAATGCTATATTACCACAGGAGGCTGAAGCTTGGCGTGTTTTTAAGGATTTAAGCTTCACTGCAGACACACGTGCAAATACAATCACCTTGGAAAAATGAAACTATCTCCGCAGAACATAAGGACCAATTTCCGAAGCCCTCATTAAAGTCTCTGCCCTTTCCAACCAGAAGCCGTGTGTACAGTGGTGCATTCCCACATGTGCTCCTTTGCAGAGAATCCCCACGCTTCCTCAGACCTCTACCCACCAGCAGGTGATGTCAACGGGATGAAAGACGAATTAGCTCCATGGGAATAAAGCTCCTAATCCAAGGAGCACTCCTGGACACTGCCTGTGCCTGAACACAGGAGAACTTCGTGTCCCCGTTTGGAAAATCAAACATCTCCCTTCTCCGGCCGAGCGGTTCCCTTCCTTAGTCCTAGTCATGAGACAATGTTTTGGAAAAAAACAGTCACCGATCCCTACTCTTGTCTATTTTGGTGCCTAAACAGAGCTAAATTTGGAAGGCAGAAAAGTTGACTTTTTTTTTTGCGCAGCGAGCTGATGTAAAAGGAAATATCAGCAACTTGTAAGGAGGGCGGAGCGGCCAGAGAAGACCAAAGGTGATGGGTGGGTGGGGACAGGCCCGGATCTCAAGGGAATGGTGAGAGCTTTGGCTTTCGTCTCGAGGCTGCTTCCCACCATGGGTTGTGCAGGACAGCAGTGGAAGTGCCTTCAGTAGAGCCAGCTCTCTGAGGACAGCGTGGGTCTGAAACGCACCTTTCAGCCTTACATATTCCTCAAGAAGCCAAAATCTCTGAACATTTCCCCAAAGGAAAAGTCTCTCGAGGGAGAAAACCACCCTCTGCTCTGCAATGGGTCTGTGAGAAGACCCACACAAGACAGACAGTTTTTGATCCTACTTGGGTAACAGCCACCATCAAACTTGAGGTGCTCAGCGTTTTCACAGGCAGGTTTTCAGCTCCTCAGTGTGCAGCAAAGTCACATTTGGTCCCTTTCCCACATGGGTTTTACTTCGGTATTTATTAGCAGGTGGTTGGAGAAGGTAACAAAACAATTTTTCAGAGCTGCTTGTTCTGGAAGTGAGGGGTGTGGGAAAAGCAGAGTGCAAGCAGCCCATGGTCACAGGAATGATTGCTAACAGGGGTAATTTTCAGCTTTGGAGCTAAACACTCTGTGGTTTACACGGTGGGAAGCTTGGAGCAGAACCTGAGAAGCCCACGGGACTTCTAATGCGTGTAGGTTCCAATTTAAATCATAAACATACATGCTACAACAAGAAAGGCCAAAAGCTCTGGAAAAGAAGGGTTGTTCAGGAATGGTCTGCTCCCCGGGCCTGTTCTCAAGAGATAGCTATGCTGTGATGTGCACACACACTGTTAGATCTTCTGGGGGAAGCAACTCTTGGAGAAGGTGGTATCTGGCAAGCTTAGGTGAGCGCCATATGGCCAGCTGGCACACACCAAGGGAACTCTGTCACCTACCGGAATTGCTGCAAACAGAGGTCAGAGGGAGCAGATCTGAAGCCCATGTGCATGGTTTTATGTGCTTTACCTTCCTCATAAAGGTGTCTGTCCTTCATCCCTGTCCACCCATCTGTGGGAATCCAGAAAGCTGGCAGCCTCCTCTCCGCTGCCCCAGACCCATTTACATCAAATTTTAATGAAAGAACAAATAAAAAAAGCTTTCACAATCTCACTGGCAATCTGCAGCAACCCAAGAACCTCCACCTCTTCCTCCATGGATACCTGCTCCTCCCCAGCAACAACTCTCTGCTGATCCCACCCCACATCTCAACCCAGTAACCTGCAGGATACTGGCTTGGGAGTGACACGAGGAAGAGGGGCAAGAACAAAGGAGGGAAATGGTTGGCTTTAGTGCTACCCTGCTAAAAGAAAGAGCTTTGCTATCATTCTTCTCATGCCTCCTTTGCAGCAGCAGCATCTGAAGAAGATGGAGCAAGGCACCAGCTTTGCCTCCTACAGGTGATGGTAAATTGGTAGAATCCTAGAATGATTTAGGTTGGAAGGGACCTTAAAGACCATCTAGTTCCACTATCCCTGCCATGGATGGGGCAGCCACAGCTTCTCTGGAAAACGTGTGCCAGGGCCTCACCACCCTCACAGATAGGAATTCCCACTATCCCATCTAACCCTGCCCTCTGGCACTGGGAAGCCATTCCCCTTGTCCTGTCCCTCCATGCCTTGTCCCCAGTCCCTCTCCAGCTCTCCTGGAGCCCCTTTAGGCCCTGCCAGGGGCTCTCAGGTCTCCCTGGAGCCTTCTCTTCTTCAGGTGAACCCCCCCAGCTCTCCCAGCCTGGCTCCAGAGCAGAGGGGCTCCAGCCCTGGCAGCATCTCCGTGGCCTCCTCTGGGCTCTCTCCAGCAGCTCCACGTCCCTGTGCTGTTGTTCCCAGGGCTGGAGGCAGCTCTGCAAGGGGGTCTCACCTGAGGGGGCAGAGGGGCAGAATCCCCCCTTCCCTTGCTGCCCACGCTGTAGGATCAGCCCTGAGCACGGGGGGTCTCAGTGACAGCACATATGGCTGGGGCACATCAAGCCTCTCATCCATGAACATTCCCAAACCACAGGGAGATAAGCAGGAATGAGGCAGGGGAGGTTTCTGCCCCTGGTTCTTCCATGACCACCCTGAGGCAGCAAATCACAGCAACTCCTTTGGCGTCTGACAACAACTGCCTTACAGAAGGGAGGGTCCCATCTGGGACCAATCTGCACCCT